TATAATTATTTATTTTATTAGTACTATATTTACTCATATAGTTAGTGACTCTATATTTAACCTGTAAACAATTAATTCCAATATCCATTAAATAAATCACATGTCATATAAGGACTTTGAAACATTACATAAAACAATAAATTCCTGGACAACATAAGAAAATGAATTAACATGTTGCTGATACTAGGTTAATTTTTTTAGCATATTAACTATTTTTTTCCAAAAAATTATAGTACTTCATTTTCTAAAATAAAATTTAATTAGACTTAAATATATTTTTAATTCTTATAAAATGAGCTTCTTTTTTATTTTTTTTATTTTGGTGTCTATAAATATCTTTTTGTTTTATTCCACTAAAATTAAAATTATCATTTTTAATTTATTGTATTATGTAATTCTTGTTAACTAACTATTTTTGTATTGATCACATAGTCATGTAATCATCTCTAGTGACACCATTAATTGTATTTAATACTATGTTAGTATGTAATATATCTAAAAATATTTATAAGTTCTTAAAATAAATGATATTTATCTACATTAAAATGAATATTAAAAAATAATAACTTTAGATTTTAGAAAGATAAAAATCAAAGAAAAATATTTTATAAATAATAAAATCAGGCTTAAATATGTTTAAACTACCTCGAATTATGTTGATTTTTAGATTACTACTTTTTAAATTTTTTTTTGTTTAAATTACCTGACTAATATATTTTTTTCAAATTAGTACTTGACGTTAGTTTCCTCTGTTAAATGATGACATGACAAACAGACCGTCACGTCATCGCCCAACGTTGTATGTCATGTCAACACACAATGGTCACCTCATTTTCCATGTAAATTGCCAAGTCAGATTTGTAAATTTTTTAAAAAATTAGTTTCACGTATATGTTGGAAATTTACAAAATCAGAAACCCATTCTCTCATTCATCTTCAACCTCATGTTTGAAAATTTTTCCTTTTTGATTTTGAAAATATTGAAGTTGTAATTCGTTTTGATTTTCGTTTTCATTCTCCTTTTTTGTGAAGCTGCTCCGTTTTTGTGTTCCTTCAATTTGGAAACGCGCATTGTACGTGGTTATTTGTTCCTTGGGTTAGAAGTTTGAAGCACCATTCTTCGATGACCATTTGTGGAGGTGAGATTTTGTAGCCATAAATAGAGGTAGTTGTTGTCATTGTTGAAGCACTGCCAAAGTTGTTCTGGACGAACCCCCTTGCCATTCTCCGTCTGTGTTGAAGGTAAGTAGTTGGTTATGTTATTAGGGTTTACAATTTGATAGCCTTTAACTGTTCTGTTGCTAAGGTTTTTTTGACTCAAAGATTTGGTTTCTTTGCAGTTGTGTTAATGGGTTTCAATTTGAAACTTTATCATGGGGTCGTTTTGAGTTAGACTCCGTGATGCATTATGTTAGAGGCAGTGAGCCAGTGCATGTGAAGAATATGGATATGGATAGGTGGTCCTATTTTGAAGCCGTGAGAATTGTAAAAGAAGACTTGGCATATGGAGAACATTCTGTTAGGTTGTGGTGGAAATTTGGTCCTTCTGATTTCAAAGAGATTAATTGTGATAGTGTTGCATTAGACATGACAAACTTTGCAATTACTAACAATGTGGAAGTGGAAATGTTTGCAGTTTGTGATGGTGGCAATGAAGGTGTTGTTGGGGACAATTTCTGCAACAGTGATGATGACTCTGTGAGGGATGTTCGGTTGGATGATTTAGAGGAGGAGAGGACTGCTGGATTAGATGATGAATTTGATATAGAAGTTCCTCAATTTGGTCGAATCAAACGTACTCAGACCCCTCTTTCAGTTTCTTAACCCACGAGAGAGTTCTTCTTCTTCTTTTAGGGTTTTTCAATTTGTTCTCAGACCCCTCTTTCAGTTTCTTATTAAGTCTCAAACGTGGAGAATGAGGTGGCCATTGTGTGCTGACATTGCATATAACGTTGGGCGATAACGTGGCAGTCTGTTTGCCACGTCATCATTTAACAGAGAAAACTAACGTCAGGTACTAATTTAAAAAAAAATATTAGTCAGGTAATTTAAACAAAAAAAAAATTTAAAAGTAGTAATCTGAAAATCGACCTAATTCGAGGTAGTTTAAACATATTTAAGCCATAAAATCAAAATTTGCTAATATTTTAGGACTAAAAACAATTATTATAAATTTTTTAAAAAAATATTATTTTTTATAGAAACTAAAATTAAAATATATTTATTTTATAAGAATTAAAATCATATTTAAACCTAAAATTTATTAATATATAACAATAAACTCGTATTGATTTACACGTATGAGTTTTAATTTAAAATATATAAAGATGGATACATATGTTATATATGTGCTCAATTGTCACCATAAGCGCGTGTGTTTTTTCCTTCCAAATCTTTCAGCTGTTTACATTGAAAAAGCTGTTTTAAATTTAAATTAATTGTTAAGAAATATTACTTAAATTTAAAATTCAATAAATTTATTATATATATATAT